TTCCCATGGCAATCATCCACTCTGCCGGTGCCAAACCCACCTCTGCTCCCTGGCATCTCCCAGTCCCGCTTTCGCTGCCTCCCTCACCCCAGTGCTGTTGCGTTCCCGTGCCTGTCAGCATGCACTTCCAGTCTGGGCAAAGAAGATTCCTAAGGAATGATCCATTAACTATAATATGGTTATAGTTACACATATATAAATATATATATAGTGGTTATAGTTATATATAATAGAAGGCGTGTGTTTGACCTGTAAACAGGCAGGACTGTGGCCCCTCGCGTGCTCTCCCGTGTGTGGGGCAGAGCAGGAGCCGGCGGCAGGAGGGGGACAACTTTTTTTTGGGCAGCCAAACCCGCCGCTGTGCCCATCACCGGGGAACCCTGCGGGTACCCATGCGTGGCAGGGGCCAGCCCCTACGCCGTTCTTGTTGCCAGCAGATCTCTGTCTGCGATGAAGTGCCAACAGATAACCACCCTGACTGCAAGTTGCTTCCCCCGTCCCTCTAGCGTGTCCCCAACCCCCCCAGAGGCAGGAACTTTCTCTGCATTGACTACTACCCCGATCACTTTGTACCATGTGTGTAACTGCCATCACCATCGATTTTATATGTACAATAATTTCCTTTTTATATGTCAGGTAAATATTTGTAAGAGTTACACTCACACAAATGAGATTATTATGATGATGATTACTAATATATTTTTTTTTTCCATGTTTCATTGCCTGAATAAAAATTGTGTTTATCACTCTAGAAAGCTTTGTGTTTGTAAGGTCGGTGAAAGGATTTTGGAGAACTCAGCTTTATCTTCCAGGAAGGGCCGTGTTCTGCCATGGTTTTATTAGCGTGGTTGCTGATGCAGTTGGTTTCAAAGAAGCATGGTCGTCATCTTGTTCACGAGCTATGAAATTCAGGCCGGAGACAATGTTGATGCCCCACGGGCTCCTGCCGCGCTGCAGTGCTGTGCCGGCAGGTTGGCGCAGCCGGCGGTGAGCTGGGCCAGGAGGAAGAGCCGAGGGCAGTGGGGAGATGCTGGGCAGTGGCACTGGGTGTAATCCCTGCACTGACCCTGATACCTGTCGTGGCCTTGGATAAATCCCTCTGTGAGGATGGAGACCGCCCAGCGCAGCCGTGAGCTGGGGAGAAGGTGAGTGCAGGGGTGGCTCTGCCAGGCTCCCAGCCCCATACGGGTTTTCCGTTGTTCCCGTGCACTTCTCTTTCGGTGGGTTGGAGGTTTTGGAGAGTTTTTCTCTAGCTTGGCTGCTGCAAACAGCAAGAAAGGGGGTTTTCTCTGGATGGAACAGATGGGTTTGGTCAAGATCTTTGAAAGCCACTGCAAGGTACCGTGTCTGGAGTTGGAGAGGTTGCCCAAAGCAGGACGTGGAGCAGTACCGAGCCTGGCAAGTGCAGGCAGGGCCAGCCACCTCCACCGGCACCGGGGCAGTGCTCTGCCCCGCTCCCTCGCCCCAGACCAGCCTGTGCCCTTGGAGAGCCGCGTCCCGTCCTCCCCAGCTAAGATGGCATTAGCCAGGGACTGCAGTAAGTGTGTTATCCCCAGCCCGATGATCCAATCACCCAAGCAGATTAGCTGTAAGACCTTAAGACAAAACAGAGGCTACGCACCCCGTGCTGGACACTGCTGAAAATGTCCACCCTGAAGACCCTCCTGGCCCTGGCCATCGTCACATCCCTGGCCGGAGAAAGTAAGTGTCCCGTAGCTCCAGGCAGTTCGAGGGGGGTAAATCGCTGTAGCTGCTCTTCTGCTCTCTGGCTGCCCCTGTCCCTGCCCACGGGCTTGCATCCCACCCATCGCTGCTCCCATCCTTGTAGGAAAACAGTGTTTTGGGGGGACAGTGGCTCTCTGCTCATGGGAGTGCACAGGGCAGCCCCCTGCCCCTTGCCCTCTCCTCCGCCGCTTGCACCGGGC